AAAAGGCCGCCCTGAAGGACGAACCCCGTGTGAATGGCGGCCATGCCCCCACCGTCACAGTGCACCATCGGTCTCCTTGCGGGCGCGCTTTCCCATGCCCACGCTCTCTTCAACTTCAGCGAGCCGACCAACAACATCACTTTTGATGGTGTCGAGCTTGGAGTTCATGTTCTTCTCCATTTGACCCATCAAGCGCTCCATGGATGCAACCAATGTTTGAGTAGTGGCCGCATTGGATTTCTCCAACTCATGCAACTTCTGCTTAGTGAAAGAGGCCTCCTCACGCATGTGCTCGACACTCTGAGCAGTTGCATTGATCTTATCCTCATTGGCCTTCTGAAGGGCCAGGACTGTATCATTGAGCTTGTCCATCTTATCATGAGCCTGGCGAAGCTGAGCGCCAACCTCAGCTGCAATCTGAGCCTGAATCTCGCACTTGACTTCAGCCATACGAGAGACCGCACTGGCCTGAGCCACTCGACCAGATTCATCAAACTGCATCTGAACGCCCATTTGCACATGGCGGGCAACCAAGGTCAAGGAAGGGCTCTTAGCTTTCCTCAAAGGTTCAATGATGACCAGGCTACCGTTGAGACCAACGTGCTGAGTCTTGGGCGGATTCTTGGCCGCTACGATCCAAGTAGCCTGACCTTGTGGTCGAATGACCTGAGCCTCCCAGCCAGAAGCGACCAAAGCTTGTGACAACTGATCACGAGAAGGCTGCCCAGGGACATGTCGGAGGACATACAAATCAGCCTGAGGATCGACTGCTGGGCAATCAATGTAGGCAGCATCAGGAGCTATGATCTTTCTGACTTGGTCAGCATGTTCTCGCCGACAACGAACAGCAAAGCGATCACCCCACAGAGCAACTCCAAGAGCATGTTCACACCCCACACTTTTGTTCCAAGCATCATCTAAGGTCCCAGTCGTGATAGGAATTGGGACATAGCGGGCATCAGCCTTGTGGTCATCACCCTTGGGAGTCATGAAGATGCCAGCAATACCTGATTTAGCCAGTACATTGTCAAGCAAAGTGTCAGCAACCTTGAAGAAACCCCGCCATGACGTTGCTTTCGAATGAGCCGCTGGCTTGCGATCATCACCGAAGGTCTTGAGAGCCCAATAACTCAGAAGGTTGGGGCCCCGAAGCACCGTGACATGCTTACCCAGGTAGTTCAAAGGCAGAGCTGTCTCAGACCAAGAGGCTGTGTGCTTGCGAAGAATGCAAAATTCAACCACCGTGGCCACGACTTGGGGCACTTCCAGAACAGGAACCTGCGGCTGAAACTCAATGCTCTTATCCCCAAAGTTGACCAGAGCAGATCGAACGACAAGCGGCTCACCAGTCTTCTTCCAGTGGGCAGGAACCGTGATGCAATTGTCAAAGGTGTTGGCCTGCTTGCCAACGACCAGAATAGCTAGACCACCACTTGAACGGATCTTCTGCTGAAGGCAAATGCGAGTTTGATGAGCGGACATGATGCAAAGTCCCTCCTCATCAGTGCCAAAGCGGTCACGATGCAAAAAGCCTGGAGCCTCACCATCAACAACGAAATGAGTGGGGGAGACCTCAATCCCATCAGGGGAAATCTCTTGCTCCTGAACTCTGCCACGCTTAGCTGGACGATTGGCAGCCTGAGATGGTGGCTTGCTGTTGGGTTTGACACCCCCATTGTTCTTCTTCTTCCATTCATTGAGTTCAGCAGCCGTGACAAGGCGGACACGCCCATCATTGGCCAGACTCTTCATGCGGGACCACAACTTGCTGTCATCATCCAAGCATTCCTTGAGGTCGCCAATGTCACAACGGTCCTTGAAGAGCTTGAGGCGTGACTGAAGCTGATCACGTGGGACACCATGACCCTCCAAAGCAGCACTGAGAGCATCATCCAAAGGCCCCTTCTTGGCACCCCCACGAAGAGGACACAGGCGGAAAGCAATGACCTCCAGCTCAGGAACATCCTGAAAAGCCATGAGAGGGTCGGCAACAGAGCCCCCTAACAAACATAGGACGGATGTATTGATTCGAGTATGGGCCAGGTAGCTGGCAGCCAGTTGGCCGATGGCAACATCACCTGGCAGGGACACAACCTCAGCCTTGCCTCGAAATGGCGATTTGATCCATCTCTGAACGCAGGCGACCCCTGGATGGAGCTGATGGTACAAAGATGATCCCAAGGCATAGTGGGAGGTCATCAGGTTCACACACGTCACTCGCCAGGGAGCCATAGTGTCCCATTCAATCTCAAAGCTGGAAATCTGATCACGCAACAGGATCTCAATGGGCGTCTGTTCATCGAGATAGCGGCCCTTGACGACAATTCTCCAAGAGACAGCTGCAGCAACATCAGGCATCAGAATCCTCACGGCCTCAGCACAAGTGTCTTTCATCGTGACCATCCCAGAACGAAGGACTTTCCTGTTGGGATGTCGTGCAAACACCCTAGCACAAGAGTAATCAACAGGCCTCAAGCCCTGATCTTCCTGACCTTGACCAATCTGGGGAGTACAGTGAGCTGGGCTGATCATGCGAAACTTGATCTGCAAAGCACCCACCTCAAGTTCAGAAAGGAAATCATCATACTTCAACGGTGTATCATTGTGCAACAGAGCAAGGGACTCCGGATTGCATTGAATGGCTGTGGCCGTGGCCGCAATAGCACCTCGCACTGTGGATGTCACATCAGCTCGAAAAGTGCAGCCATTGTTGTCATCATAGGAACACTTCACGGAGTACTTGACAGGCTCAAAGGTGATTTTCTTGGCCGGGCAAGCCAAGATCTCATCATCCCAAAAAGCTTCAGTACAGTCATCCCAAAAAGCAATGAAATGCTCACGCTTGGCATGCGGCAAACCTCGCTGCACAAATGCAGACAGAGACTCACGCGGTGCACCATGACAAACCATCATCCAATGGCCCTCTTTATGCGCCAAGAAAATAATGCCACCACTGCATGTATGGCCCACAGAACCCGCAGACAGTTCCAGCTGATGGGCCATCACAAACTCCGGCTCAAAAGGCAAGGCTGATGTTGCAGCGGGCTCAAGGACACCAAAGGGCACTGTCGGTGGGATGATGGTAGAGTCCTCAACCCGTGGCCTCTTGGATGGAGTCGGCACAAAACTCTCGAGCTCATCAACAGGTGTCAAAACCATGAAGTCACCCTGGACAGTGACTTGGAAGGCTGAAAGCCCAGTGCGATGCTGCTCAATCTTCAAAGCCAGTTCGGACAAATCATGCATCGGACGAAAAGGGGACAGTGATCCCAGGACAGCATCCACCTTAGCAATGCCTAAGACTGCATGTCCGATGGTCAGTGCATTACCAGCCTGACGGTGCGCATCAAAGAAATCCTTAGCCAAAACAGTTTCCGGGGGAAAACCCATGGCAGCAAGAACCTCAAAGGGATGATAGTACCTCACATGTCCGTCAACCTCAAGGAGGTGAGTAGTCAGGCCCTTACGCATCAAAAGCTGAATTGGTAGCTTATGTTGTTTCCCATATGATGCCATGGCAGCAACAATGGGCTGCGTCAGCAAACGAGTTCTGGCTTTGATGACCTGCGAAGGATGGAAAAACTTACCACCCCCATCTCGAGAAGGGAGCAAATCAGGTCTCCCAAGGAACTCAAGGGCCTCAGCATCAGGGATAAGGAAACTAAGGTCAGCACTCGAAAGGCGCCGAAGCGCTGCATTTTCAGTGGCAAGGCTCAACTGAAAAGTAGGCTCAGCAACAAAAGGCTGCTTCCAACACATTTGGCCGGCGATTCTGAGACTATCAGCATCAGCCAGTTTGTCTCTCCTGCACCAGACTGCAATCCATCGTTCTCTCGAGATAGGATGGACACTGTCAACATTGACCAAACTCTCACATGCCAAATGGAAGCCCTGCTCCGCCGCATAAGCCTTGAGAGCAGCGAAGTCCTTGTGTTTCACAATGCCTGGCACATTCTCGACAGCAAGGGCCCAAAGCCCAAGGTCAGCTCCATCTGCAAAAAGCTGGCGAAAGGCCTGGCCATTGGGCCCAGCAAGACCCTCGCCATTGCCACTAGCACTCCATGGTTGACACGGAGGAGAAGCCAAGGCCACAACCGTGTTGAGCAAACCAATGCCTTGCACCACCAGCTTGTCAGAGACGCTGGCGCATACCACAGCAGGCCCTCCAACCGAACCAGCAACAGCCTTTCCATAAAAGGCTGAGGGGGACAACACATCAGTCTTCAACCGATGAGCCATAGCCGCCGAAACCTGATGATCAAAATCGATCAAAGCTCGAGTGCACTTCTGAGCAACACGCATGCCTTCATGCCAACCTCCCAAACCGCTGAAGAGCTCCACAGTGGAAATGGGAGTAGCACAATCCAAATGTGGCTGGAAAATCACCATAGGCTCACCCAACGCCGAAGGCGTGTCCAGGATGAAGCGAACTCTTCCATGGCACCATGCAACCTGAAAGTTGCGAACAACCACAACTCGCGACACATGGCAGTGAGGCAAAAGCTCCAGCCTCACCACCAAAACCACGGGGGTGCGGCATGCCAGCACAACAGCCTGTGCCACCCCACCTTCCACCTTCTCGATGGAAACCACAGCTCTAGCACCTGAATGCCAGTCCATGGCTCCCCAAACGGCGCCGATCAGCAGTCACCGCCCACCAGCTGGTAGGTGGCGCCTCTTGGACCAATGGCTCCCAACCAATGGGTTTTTACCTGTTCACTTAGCCAAACCTTCTCACCTGTAGTAGGGGCCAACCAGGTATTTTCCAATTCCTCCTGTACCCCCCGTAGTATATGGCAAGGGCGTCCGGTGAACGCGAGCGACTGACATCGTCCGCAAGTCATGCTACCGTTTTTTTTTGCGTCTCTTTCCCTTCTTCCAGGAGGTCTTTGGGAGGTCTCTCTATTATACTATGAACCACCATATCAAGTGTCCCTTGTGTATCCTTGCGACTCACGCCACCGTACCGTACCGTATCGCGCAACGCCAAACGCCACGAGGTCTGCGATGTCCAACTTGGCGCGGCCGGGGCCGAGCGAAGACGAAAGCGGACAACATGAAGCGAGTTTTAGGAACCAACATCCACGAAAGTCGGCCGATTGACCATGTGGCCGAACTGTGGCAGCTGAAGGACAATGGTCGATAGGAGTGTCCGGCACTGGGGGGGACAATCAGCTGAAGGGGGGCCAAGTGTGGACAGCTGAAGTGTCCGACCTGCTTGAGTGGTCGACGAGTCGATGAGGCCGGCCTCCGGGGGAACGACCACCAGCAGACGCGTGCGTGAATGCAAATGAACCCATTGGTCTACTTGAACCAATCACACTGGAGTTACTCAACTAGTTTTCACTAGTTACTCAACTGCAAGTTTCCTTTGTTGCAAGGTTCATTTATCCTCTCAAAGTTGAGATAGAGTGAGATAGAACATGCTCGGACTGGTGGACATGACTCCGCACGGTCTCGTCGTCCGAGGCCAGTGCTCTCAGAGGACCGAAGCAAGCGACACTGAGGGGCGGACACGGCTCAGCCTACGACACGGCGGTCTGGCCGCATGGCGGACGGCGCTGGAAGTTCGCATTTTTTTTGGAGATCATTGAATGGTATTGAACTAAATGTTGGGATCATGAATCATGCCTCAGATGGAAACAATGTCAAGATGCCAAGAAGATAGCCTTTGAGTGCCGTTGAAACCACTGAACTCACTGAATGACCATGGATCACTCAGAAATCAGAGATCGGCAGAAGCTGCGTTTTGATGAGGAAGATTTTGGAGGCAAGTCTTGTCCAGAGTCCAAATCACATCTCCTAAGGAGATTTAATTGCTGGGCTCCGTGTGCCCATGGAATGTCAGATTGGCATCATCCGTGTGTTGAGTCGGCCGGGACACCAACGGATTTGAGTCGGAAAACGGTCCGACCCTTTGCCAGAAGATTGGGACCGTAGGACGGTCCGTAGGACGAGGGCCCAGCTATATAAGCAGACTACGTAGGTGATCGGGTGGTGAGAAGGTGGCTTTCCATGTATTTTCTATTGAGATGAGTGCACGGCTTTGTGCTTCCAGACTTTGGCCCAAGGGTATCATGTCAGACATGTCACTACCAACACGTAACACCACCAACACCTCTCAAGCAAGCCAAGGAGGAACGCCAAACAGAGGCCGTCAGACCCTGCAAGCAACATACAAGAACACTGCCTACGAGGCTGCTTTGACCAGCGGCATGCAACCATTGAAACTCACTCTCCAAGACCACCAGCCATTGCATCTCTATAGTCAGACATTTACGCCATCGACGCCCGACTTCCCATGTCCCCAGTTTTCGATCTCCATCTCGAAGGCAACACCATTGACCCCCTGTGGCCGTTTTTCCGGCCCCCCAAAAGGCCACCAGCAATAAGACTGCGTCGTGCACAGATCAGATCTGTGTGCCGCAGCTGCTGCAGGAGATCGATCGCGGAGAGCGATCGCGGCACACTTTGGGTGGAACCTTTGTGTGACGACAGGTGAAACGGTTTCTTTGTTTGGTGGAGATATAGATAGATATGGATAGGTGAATAGGATGTCTCAATTTTGTGGGGAGAAACAGCCAAAGAACACTAACAACCAGCAAAACTTTTTCCGGACCCATGGTTGGTGGGTCTATTTATTGAAATCATGGAAATTAACATTTCACATAATTTCACCATTTATTTCACCATTGGCAACTAAGCCATCAAACAGGAGACGACATGGTCGAGTAATCCGACTCCTTACTCCTTGAATCTCTTTGAAGACAACATATCCCGTCAGACGTGTTCAGGGCCTGAGAAAAAGCTTTATAAGGAAACGATGGGAAACCGATGGAAACATCGATTGTAGTGGTTGGGGAGCCCCTCCGGGGTGTTCTTGTAAGATATGGATACGATGTGGATTCCATTCTTTGAGCCATCTTCATCCATGTCGCGCGATCAAACATGACACCACATTTTCCACCACCTTTTGGCATCAATCAGCTTAAACTTGAATGGTGTGAGACTTTAATGCCTGAATGAACAACTCCCTCTTTGGATGGTTGAATTGTAACATCTCTTCAGTCTGGGCGGCTTATGATTTCAATGATATTTTTTGTTGCACTTTCCCAGGCATAGGTGGCCCAAAAGCGACTGGATGGGCAGTGGATCGGCATTTGCCAGGGCAAAATGGCCAATGGTCCGCCGGCCGGTATTTGCGAGTTGATGAGGTGCAGCAGTGCAAGTTGATCGGCATGAATCATGCAAGAACAATCACATGATATCACACGCTTTAGTAAATGATGTTCACCTGGTATACCATCATAAGTTATAGTACTGTACACCTGACAGTCCTTGGAAGCAACCATCTGATCCGCGTCGCGTGCGACGCTGCTCAGCTTCGGTCGCTTCGCTCCGCTCTATTTCGAGGGCGCTCCAGAACGTCGACAATGTGGTGCGAAAGGATGCCGAGCAAAAGCTCATGGAGGCGGTGAAAGGAGCGGAGACCGGCGGTGAGGGCCAGCTGTCTCCTCGGAGATGGCGAGGCGACGACCGTACTCGACGTTTTCTCCGTACTCGACCACGGACGGAGGATTCGGAGTCATCATGGTCTGATGTTCACGAGGAGAGGTTGACTGTTCTAGTGTCAAGAAGGAATGGACGATGTGTGCCTCGGAATTGGAGGAAGAGGTAAAGATAGGTACAGAAATGTAAAGAAGACATACGACGGTACGGCAGGAAACAGATCCAATGACGTATGACGGTAGGGGTTAACACTTCTTCCCCAGAGTCGATCATCCAGGAGCACCGAATCAGCTGGTTTTAGAGCTGCTGGCCGTGCTGGCGGCAAGCAATGAGAGCCTCGGAATGAACTTTTGGCTTTAAACACTTACAGACTTTGATGGTGGCGTGGAGTATGTATTTCTCCCAATTGACCAGAAGAAGCGCCAGTTCTATTTGAACATCCGCTAAAACCTGTTATGACCAATTCAGAAACGAGCGATCGTAAATGTCAGGAATTTGGCTGAAACTGTCAAAGCGATAGGCCCCCCTCGAAAGTGATAATAATGTCGGTGGAGTTTTTGGAAATGTTGTCCTTTTTGTTAACAAGACATTTTTTCACATATAAGAACACAAGACTGTTCAAGCAACCACCATGACGACATGGTTCCTTCCATGTCGCCTCCTCCGGCAACTAGATCAGGACATACCGTTATCTGCACCATGTCGCAAGAAACTCCTTTCACTCCACCCTTCCCAAGAAGCCAAATGCCTTGGGAAGCCGACCTTCCCTCGTGAATCGGCTCTGTTCGACTCGGTCCATGCGCCGCCCAGGGCGGCACCAATGGAACTCCGACAGGAGGCGGTCGTGGTGCTGAGGCGGTAGCGTTCGGTCAGCGAAGGTAGGAACATCAGATGATATCAGATGGGAAGGTCCAAAACGAAGATCCTGAAGAGTCAAGTTACGTGGATCTGACATCGGTGGCCAATCATTCAATTCCTTTATGAAACGGTTTCCAACACATTTTTAATGGGACCGACTCTTCTATCTATTTGTTTCTATCTATTTGGGGTCTATATAAGCCTAAGGGTGGAGGCCATCGCTAGTAGGTTGGAGGCCATCGCTAGTTGGAGGGCCTTCGACTCGACTCTAGACGATAGGCAGTGTGCCTCGGAGCATGGCTCCCGAAGTTGCTGGAAAGAGTTGGAAAAGACCACGCAGGAGGCGTGCGTGCAGTGGACGTTGCAATAGACGTCGTTTTGAGGATCTGCAAACTGTGGCTGACAGTTCTATTCAGATTCGAATCTGGGTCTGTTTGTTCATGCTGATGGCAGCCAGGCATTAAAAGAACAGGTCCTCGTGTCCTTGACCAAGGAGAGTTTGCTAACATGGGCTGACCAAAGATCTCATTTTATTGTTTCTAATAGCTTCTTGTTCCTAGTAGTAAGGCCAGGAGCCCCTAGTAGCGATGCCCTTTGCTCCTAGTAGCTTCTTGTTCCTAGTAACAAGATGCAGACCTGTTCTTTCTCAAAAGTGCGTACGTCTTTCGACGGCACCCTCGCAAGAGCTGTCTTACACCGTTTTGAAGATGTTTGGAAGCAGATTTGTACCATCTTCTCAGAACTTACAATATGCCTTCCAAGACTGTGAACCCCAAAGCCCTTGTAAGGCACTTGTTACTACTAGCGTGGCACTTGTTACTAATAGCTTCTTGCTACTACTAGTAAGGCACTTGTTACTACTAGCGTGGCACCTGTTCCTAGGAAACACGACTCCCAAAGCCCATTTTCCCAATGTGCGGCACCAGCGGCAAACTTGGTGGCTTTCGAGAGCGCTCTCGGACCGAAGCCCGGTCGGGACCCGGGGCTGAGAGGAGCAGCTTACCAGCTGCTCTGTTGATTTCTACTGCTGATCAAATGTGAGATTGGCATAGATTATATATATATATATTATAGATCAGTGTCCCCCTTGGATTTCCTGAAGAGGCTCCATGTTTGTGTCCACCTCCCACGCGGACATGTCCAGGATCCTAGCTTGCCGGTGCGAAACAACGCTGGCCATGTCGTGTGTGCGGTGGCGAACACCGTGGCTAAAGAGTACTCCGAGCTCTTAAAGGCGGGAAAACGCCCGCACAGGGATGGGCCGATGCCAGAAATGGGGCCTTCCAACCAAGATGGCCGACAGCAGCCCATGCATGGCATGGTTCCGGTGTCCTGTGGGGTGTGCTAAGAATATCACTGCTTCACGATACTGGATGGTTTCCAACTTGGGGGTTCCTTCTTCCAGGTTGCACAATCCTAAGCTGTGACCATGTTGGGTCCTACGTTTTCTTGATTGGCGTGTGAGGCATGTACTCACGCAGACTGTACGTCAATATGTAAGTCTGAGGATGCTATCAGACAAAGAGCATGCATAGCGGCATAGATGTTGCCACCAGCACATAGTACTATTTAGGCTGAAGATGTTAGGCCCATGAAATCCCGCCTGGCAGGAGTGGCCTCGACTGCTCCACTTCTTATCTGAGACCATTAGCCGCTTGCCACGAAACAAGTTCTTCAGCTCTGGGACTTGTTGTGATGGCTTGCCGCACGGGTGCTGTGCTGAGAATCTAGTGGGGGGGATCTTTGGCACTAACGGCATAACGGCATTCTCGTGCTGCTACGGTTTAGATGATTAACTATACAGGTACGGTATATAGGTATACAGTATCTATAGAATCTATATTTCTTGCCTGACACTGGAAGGGGCTGAGATATCTTTCCTCAAATGTGTTTTGTGAAAATTAGCGTTTGAGGGGAAGAGCTGATGCAATGCCAATGTTTTCCTGAAAAAAGGTCATGCATATCATGCATTGATTTAGGGAGATCATGAATTGTTTCTTCAAGAGCATGTCAGTATGTCCTCCACACAACACAGCATCGTGTAGGATCTAATTAGTGATTGATTCCATCCCCAATCCAACTAGTTACCGTATCCAACTCAGCTACTCTTTGCCAAGGGGTTTAGGAACATATTTCATCCACCGACCGTCCGATTGGACGCCCTTCAGTCGCAGTCGCTGTCCGAGTCGCTGTCCCAAAAGGATGACGTCCCGCAGATCCATCGTCCACTTGTTTACCACGTCGGATCGTGGGAAGAGGATGAGG